GGCTGATACATCCTACATCTGTAAGATTTTGCATAAGAAGAAAAATCTATAAACATATAACTCTGGAAGCATCCTGAGACATGTTCTCACGTGCAAACTTTACTCCTATCTGCATCACAAAGTGAATTGTTATGGTATGAGACATAGCGTTTGTTGTCATCCACAGTCACTTGCTCATTGAGAATCCATTATATCCAGATCAAAGTGGCTGTCACCAAGGAAACAGACAACAGATAGGGAGGGGGGTTATGGTGAGCCACAGATCACTTTTGGCAGCCATTTTCACAGTGTTAACTCTGTTATACCGGGAGCACGGATTCTTTCAGCTGTCTACTGTTTTCTTCAATCTCTCTTCAGTGTTTCAGAGTCTTTGTTGTAGGAATCTTTCACCTCTTTGATTGGGTTTTATTTCCACTTTCTTTTCTTTCTTTCTTTTTTTTTTAAAAGCTAGTGTGATTGAGACTCCCCCTGTCCCAACACACACACACACACACACACAAACACACACACACACACACACACACACACACACACACACACACACACACACACACACACCACATCCTCAGTAAGTATGTTGATAAAAAAGTAGGAAGGTGCTGGGTGGTGGTGCACGCCTTTAATCCAAATACTTGGGAGGCAAAGGCAGGTGGAACTTTGTGAGTTCAAGGACAGCCTGGTCTACATACCTAGTTCTGGGGCTGGCTTCAAAGCTACACAGAGAAACCCTGCCTGGAAAAACAAACAACAAAAAATACAAACAAACAAGTTTTTTGTTTGTTTGTGTTTTGGACAGGGTCTTTATAGCTCGGGCTGGCCTGGAAGTCACTCTGTACTCTAGTCTGGCCTCAAACCTCACTACAATCATTCCGCCTTAGACTCTTGAGTGCTTCAATTACACATGAGAGTCACCGAATTTGGCTTAAAAAACTCTTGGTTAATGTATGCTGATTTTACATCCTATGACTTTGCTGGAAGTGCGTAACAGATATTAAAGTTTGCTGGTGGATTCTTTAGGATCTTTTAAATATGGGATCATATTGCTTGTCAGTGGTGATAGGCTGATCTCTTCCTTTTGCATCCCCCCCTTTCTTTTTCTTTTGGGTTATAGCTCTTTGACTTCAAGCATTATATTGAGTAAGTGCAGAGAGAGTGGGCCCCTGAGTCTCACTCCTGATTTGAAATGGAATGCTTTCAGGTGTTCATCATTTCACATGGTGCTGACTATAGATTTATTATACCACCTTTATTAGGTTGAGACATGCTCCTTCTGCTTCTACTTTCTTTGGGGGCTTTCCTAGTAAAATGTATTGAATTATGTCAAATGCATTTTCTTCATGATCCCTTTGATTTGAGAAGTCAAGTGATTTCTATCCCTGAGTCTGTGTGCTGTATTACAGTTATTGATCTGTGATATTGAACTGTTCTTACACTCATGGAATGAAAACAACTTGATTGGAGTACGTGGCCTTCTTAATGTGTTGCTGAGCTCAGTTTGCTAGTATTCTATTGAGAATTATTGCATTTATGTTCATCAGAGAAGTTGGCCTATTAGTTTTCTGTTTTTGTTGTGCCCTTACCCAGTTTTGATACCAGAGTATTACCGTCCTCAAAGAATGAGTTTGACAGTTTATTTTTTATGAAATCATATGGAACTTGTATTTTTTCTTTAGTCTGATAGAATTCTGCAGTGAGCCTGCCTAGTCCTGAGCTTTTCTTTTTTAGGAGACTCTTTGCGACTGCTTCAACATCACTGCTCCTTATAGATCTCTTTCAGATGCTTATATCCTCTTGATTTAATTTTGGTAAGTCAGACACATCTACAAATCTATCATTTCCATCCTTCCAGAAATACATTTTCAAAGTATTCCCCAATGAGTCTCTGAATTTTGTTGGCATCTGTTTTAATGTCCACTTTTGTTTTACTTTTATTAATGCTAGTCTTTCCTCACTTTCTTTTAGTTAGTTTGGCTAAGGGTTTGTCAAGTATTCAAAGAACAAACTTTTTTTTGCATTAATTACTTTTGTTGTTATTTTTATTGTTGGTATGACCAAATATCTTACAAGAAGCATTTTAGTGGAGTAAGGATTTACTTTGGTTCACACTTTGAAATCGTCCAGACCATTATGATAGGAAAGGCGTGGTGGTGAAATGTTTGGATCTTTGGTGTTATGGGCATGGAGGTTGCTTGCTCACATCTCAGCAGATCAGGAAACAAATATCTTGGAACATACCTGAGTTAGCTATAACTCTCTGGCTGTATTTCATTTCACATTTAAGCTCGTAACTCATTGGTTTCTTGATTCTTTGGGTTATTTTTTCAGTCACCACTTCATTAATTTCTGCCCTGATTTTCAGTATTTCTATTTATCTACTGATTTGGGTTTCACTTGCTCTGTTCCCTTCCTTCCTCCCTCCCTCCCTTCCTTCTCCCCTTTCTCTCTCTCTTCAGTATTAGAATTCAATAAGAGACTTTATATGTATTAACAAATGCTCTACAACTGAACCACATAATTATATCCTCAGCCCTTTTAAAAATCTTTTCTAAATTTTGACTGAAGTTTTCACTAAATTAGCTTGGATGGCCTTGCCCTTACTCTTGAACTTGAACTTGCAATCTTCCAGCCTCGACCTCCCAAGTAGCTAGGATTACTGGCCTGCACCACTAGATCTGGCTTGTTCTTATTTTGTTAAGGCCTGGTGGTGTGTCCTTAAATTATTTATTTGAGTTCTTTTTTATTTTTTAGGTGTAAATACTTTTAGCTATAGACTTCCCTCTTAGAATTCCTTGCTGAATCCCAACATTTATGATAAATTGTGCTATCATTTTTGTTTCATTTTAGGATTTAAAATATTTCTCCTCAATTTCTTCAATGACCTATTTATCATTCAATAGTATATTGGTCATTTTCATGTATTTATATAGCTTTATTAATTTATTTTGCTAATAACTTCTGGTTTTATTCAACTGTGATATAAGATGCAAGAACTATTTTTTTCTTAGTATTTGTTAAGAATTTCTTTATTGCTTGAGATATAATGTGTTTTAGAGAAAGTTAATGGGCTGTGACAAGACTGCATTCAACAACTGTGGAAGGAATATTCTGTAGGTATCTGTAGGGTCCAGTCTAACTCTTAAGTTTCTTTGTTAATTTTTAGTTTGGATGATCTGAATAAAGGTGAGTGCATGGCATAGAAGTCACACACCTTATTGCATCAAGACTCTGTGACCGTTAATAACAAAGAGTGTTTTTTTTTTTAAAATAAAATTGGCAGCTCCAATATTCAGCTGATATGTGTATATTTGGTAAATTTATTATTGATATACTCATGGTGGATTATCTCTGATACTAATATGTGATGATCTTTGTGTTGTAGTTTTTGTCAACTTGACTCAAGATAGAGTCATTTGGGAAGAGGGAGCCTCAGTTGAAAAAATGCTTCTATCAGATTGGCCTGTAGGCAAATCTGTGGGGACTTTTTCTTACTAAATGATTTATGTGGGAGAGTCCAGCCCACCTGTGGGCAATACCACCCCTAGACAAATGGTCCTGAGCCATATATATATATATATATATATATATATATATATATATTAACCAATCTGAATGAGCCATGGAGAGCAAGTGGGTAAGTAGCATTCTTCCATAGTCTGCTTCCATTCCTACCTCTAGGTTTCTTGAGTTCTGTCCTGACTTTCCTCAATAATGTGTGGTGGTTGGGGTTTGTAAGCCAAGTAAACCCTTTCCTCCTCAAGTTGTCTTTGGTCATATTCTTTATCATAGCAATAGAAAATCAAACCAGAACAATCTTCTTTATGTCTTCTGACTAATTTTGCCTTGAAGTCTACTTTATCAGATATAAGTATAGTTGGGCTCTATTTGTTTGGCACATTGACTTCTATCACTTCAGTTTCTATATGAAATTGTCATTGCCAGTGAGATGTGTATTTTACAAATAATAAATAGTTGGATCTTAAGTTTTAATCCAATGATATAGTTTGTATCTTTTTATTGGAAGGTCAAGACCATTTGCATTTAGGCTTATCATTGAGAGAGACCTGGTAATTCCTGTAATTTGATTGTCTGTTTCCTTGGCTAGCTCAATTATTGTTCTTTTATTTCTCCCTGTTTGTGTTAGGGAGTTGCTTATTTACTGGTCTTGGGCATGACTAATTCTTTCTTTGTTCTTTGTTAACTTTCATAAAAAGAGTGGGTGTTCTCTTAACAGTTTTTAATATTGTTTTCTTGTGTCATTGTCTTGGAACTTTTGACTATAGTGTGTAAGGAATAGGTCTTGGCTGCTCATCTCTATTGATTCTTGTGCTAGGATTTCTATTTCTTTGCCTAAATTTCTAGAATATTTCTATTATCATTTCACTGAGTAGATTATTTACTTATATACACATATATTACCTCAGCTTCTTCTACTACACAGATTCTTAGGTTTGATATTTTGATCATATCCCAGAATTCTTAGGAATTGTATTCATATCTTTCTTAATCTTTGTAATGAGTATAGCATTTCCTAGACCTCATTTTCCATATCTAATATTCTTTCTCCTGCTTGTTATCCTGCTTTGGTAGATTTAAATGGCTTATCTGTTCTTGATTTTAGTAAGTGAAAACTATCCAAAACATTGTCCATTTTCTTTAGATTTTTGAATTTTGTGGAGTACAGGTTTTCAAAGTATGATCTGATGATTCTCTGGATTTCCTCAGTGTCTGTTTTTATATCCCCCTTTTCACTTCTGATTTTGTTGATTAGCATGCTCTCTCTTTCTGCCTTTTGGTTAGTTTGGATAGAGGTTTTTCTATCTTGTTGGTTATTCTTGAAGAACCAACTATTTGTATGCATGATCAGTGGCTTCAAAGAGGAAACAAGCAAACAAGTAAATGAAATAAGGAAACTAGCACAGGGTGTGAACAAGAAAATCAGCATCACAGAAGAGAAAGTCAGCAACGAGAATAGACAACTCCTCACCCAGATCACTGCCATCATGGACATGAGTCACGTACAGCCCATCAAGCTGGCTAGGGTCACCAAAGTACTGGGCAGGACTGGTTCAAAGGGACAGTGTATGCAGACACACATGGAATTTATAGATGACACCATCCAAAATGTTAAAGAACCTGTGCAGGAAGGTGATGTGCTCACTCTAGTGGAGTGAGAAAGAGAGAGCTGAAGACTGTTCTAACCTTGCTGCTGGGTCCTAGATATCCACTACTTGGCCCATGGGGTGACTTGAAATTGTTTACCAAATCATCTGTGTTGAAAGAAAGAAAATTAACACTTTGACACATAGACACATAGGGAGAGAGATGGAGGGAGGGATGGAGGGAGGAATAGCACACACAGAGAAAGAACACATACACATACACAGATAGGAGGAGGAAGAGGAGGAGGTGGTGGTGGAGGAGGAGGCGGAGGAGGAGGAGAAGAAGAAGAAGAAGAAGAAGAAGAAGAAGAAGAAGAAGAATAGAGATGTTGGAAATGAAAAGAACCAACTCTTTGTTTCATTGATTCTTTGTAATGCTTTCCTAGTTTCTACTTTATTGATTTCAGCCCTCAGGTTGATTATTTCCTGGCATCTACTTCTTCGTGATGAGTTTGCTTACTTTTGTTCTAGAGCTTCCAGTTATTCTGTCAATTCTCTAGTGTGACTATTCTCCAGTTTCTTCATGTGGGCACTTAGTGCTATGAACTTTCCTCTTAGCACTGCTTTCAAAGTGTCCCATAAGTTTGGGCATGTTGTGTCTTCATTCTCATTAAATTCTAGGAAGTCTTTAATTTATTTTTTATTTCTTCCTCGACCCAGGAATGGTGCAATTGGGCATTATTCACTTTCCATGAGTTTGTAGGTTTTCTGCAATTTGTGTTGTTGTTGAATTTTAACTTCTCAATTCTGATTTATGTTATTGTTATGTTATTCCTGTTTTTTTTTTTTTTGTATCTGTAGAGGTTTGCTATGTTGCCAAGTATGTGGTCAATTTTAGAGAAGGTTCCATATGGTGCTGAGAAGAGGGTATATTCTTTTGTTTTTGGATGGAATATTCTATATAGATGTCTGTTAAATCCAATTGGGTCATACTTTCTGTTAGATCCTTTATTTCTTTGTTAAGTTTCTGTCTGGTGGTCCTATCTAGTGGTGAGAGCCGGGTGTTGAAGTCTCCTACTATAAGTGTGTGAGGTTTTATGTGTGATTTGAGCTTTAGTAATATTTCTTTTACAAATGTGGGTGGCTTCCTATTTGGGGCATAGATGTTCAGGATTGAGGCTTCATCTTGATGGACTTTTCCTGTGATGAGGATGAAATGCCCTTCTTCTCTTTTGATTGATTTTAGTTTGAAGTCCAATTTGTTAGAGCAGAAGGATGGATTCCATCTTCGTATCATTCTGTTAGCCTGTATATTTTTATAGGCCAGTTAAGACCATTGATATTGAGGGATATTAATGTCCATTGATTGTTGGTTCTTGTTTGTTTTGGATTTATTGTTAGTGGTGTTATTATGTGTGGATTTCCCTCTCTTTTTTCTTTTGGTGTTTGATAAAGTGAGATTATCTATTGCCTATGTTTTTGTGAGTGTAGTTATCTTCATTGGGTTGAAGTTTTCCTTTCAGTACTTTCTGTAGGGCTGGATTTAAGGATGTGTATTGTTTTAATCTGGTTTTGTTGTGGAATATCTTGTTTTCTCCATCTGTAGTGATTGAAAGTTTTGCTGGGTACAGTAGTCTGGGCTGGCATCCATGTTCCCTTAGCATTTATAGGACATCTATCCAGGACCTTCTGGCCTCAAAGTTTCCGTTGAGAAGTCTGGAGTAATTCTGATAGGTCTCTCTTTATATGTTACTTGGCCTTTTTCCTTTGCTGCTCTTAATATTCTTTCTTTATTCTGTATGCTTGGTGTTTTGATTATTATGTGGTGAGGGGACTTTAATTTGGTTCAGTCTATTTGGTGTTCTATAAACCTCTTGCTTCTTCATAGGCATGTCATTTTTTTTTTTTTTTTAGGTTGGGAGAGTTTTCTTCTATGGTTTTGTTGAATATAATTTTTGTGCCTTTGAGGTGGACTTCTTATCCTTCTGTCCTTGTTATTCTTACATTTGGTCTTTTCATAGTGTCCCAGATTTTCTGGATGTTTTTTGTTAAGAACTTGTTGGACTTAAGTTAACTTGTTGAGTGATGAATCTATTTCTTCTATCATATCTGCAATGCCTGAGATTCTCTCTTCCATCTCTTGTATTCTGTTGGTCATGCTTGCACCTGGAGTTGATCATTTACTCTGTTTTTCCATTTCCAGAATTCCCTCAGTTTGTATTTTCTTTATTGCCTCTATTTCAGTTTTCCAGTCTTTAACTGTTTCCTTCCCCTGTTTGTTTTTTCTTGGCTTTCTTTAAGGGATTTATTGATTTCTTCCAATTTTTGTTTGTCTTGTCCTCAATTTTTTAAAGGGGACTTCTCATTTCCTCCTTGTGGGCCTCTATCATCTTTATAAAGCCATTTTAAGGCTGTTTTCTGTTTCATGTATGTTGTGATGTTCAGGTCTTGCTGTTGTAGAAGTGCTGGGCTCTGGTGGTGCCATATTTCTCTTGATGTTGTTGAGCATATTCTTATATTGCTGTCTACCCATCTTTTTAATTGGTACAAGTGGTGCTTGTGTCTCTAGGGGCTGCTGATCACTTCTTCCAATTGGTTCAGGCTGTGCTTGTATCTCTAGGGGCTGCTGTTCTTAGAGCAGCAGGGAATGTTTGGCCAGAGGGAAGGTGATGGTTTCAGGGGGAGGGGGTCTTGTAGGTTACAGTGTCCAAAAGGTGTAGACAGTGGTAGATCAGCCTGCCAGAAGGCTTACCTACTAAGTGGCTATGCCTTCGGGCTTTTTTATTTTTTTGGTTTTTCAAGACAGGATTTCTCTGTGTAGCTTTGGAGCCTATCATGGCACTCACTCTGTAGACCTGGCTGACCCCAAACTCACAGAAATCCACGTGTCTCTGCCTCCTGAGTTCTGGGCTTAAAGGCATGTACCACCACTGCCTGGCTGCCTTGGGGCTTTTAACCATTCATTCTGTATATCTTCTACTGCTTCCTCCATGTCTATGTGGCAACTACATGGCTGGATGGATTTGGGCATGCCCTGCTCTTTCTTCATTGTTTTCTTTTCCCCCTTTCTCTCTTGAGCCTACATTCCTCCTCTCACTTATTCTCTCTGCCCACCAGCCTCACCTATCCCTATACTACCTAGCTATTGGCTGTTCAGCTTTTTATTAGACCAATCAGGTGCCTTAGGCAGGCAAAGTAAAACAAATGCAATACATCTTTATAGTTAAACAAATACAACATAAACAAATGTAACACATCTTTACATAGGTAAAGTAATATTCCATAACAAGCTAGTGTTCTGGCTAAGTGTGTCCTGAGTACACTGAAGAGTTGGAGGAGAAAACATCACTGAGATCTATCTGTAAATGAAAACCAGTGTTTGTGCTTTCCAAATCTGCTCAGCAGGAAACAAAACAAAACAAAACAAACAAACAAACAAACAAACAAAAACACTGCTGGAGAGCTGCACTGTAGAAGTCAAGGAGTACACTGAAACTTCAGAAACTTTCAGTCTCACTGGTAATCAAATTTGTTACAGATAGATGGTTCCAAAGTTTGGGACACCCAAACTTCAGTGTCAGGGCTATCAGATTCCTCAGCTACTCTCAGATGTTGAGGTAAATGGCTTTCTACAGAGAATGAGGCTACCAACCTCCATGTCCTTCAAGCTGACCTTCGGGACTTCTTGGTATAACTACTATGCCTTCCAGATTGCTTCCCTCCCATACCTGTGTCCACTCTGGACCTATGGTTGGTTGACTTCAGTATCCTTGTCTTGTGATTGTTATTTTTGTCAGGGTCTCAGTGTCGCTCAGTCTTAAATAGTAGGTGTCTTCACAAGAGGGTTTCTGAGCAAAGCTCTTCTGAGCAAAGCCCTCCAATGTATAGGGACTGATAGAATGAACCTCTTCTGGACTGCTGGCCCATTATGCTGGAGGAGTCACAGCTCAATAAAACTCCTAGTTGCATTTAAGACATCTGAGAATTGTTCACTTGTTTTATTGGCATGATTCCTGGGTTCTTTTTACTAAATCTGCATAGATTACCTTATGGATAGTTTCTGTCTTTCCCACTCATCTCATGCTGCAGAACCATGGCTGAAGCCATATAAACCTTGCTCATTTTCACCATCTGTACTTCTGTTCCTCTGCGGTTGCCTCCTTTCCCACTACCTCTTTGGTTATTCCCAGTGATCTTGTCATTTTATCTATGAAGCAGAATTTATTTATTATCCTGACTCTTCTCCTCTACTGTGTCACATGGAGGTAGCATCTCATACCATGTAGCCCTGGAAGTATTGTTTTCCATTTTAGTAAAACTCTTTACTGTCCATCATAGTGGAAGACAGCCATATTCATAGATGCTGACAGTTTTTGATGTTATTCATAAATTTCATTTTCTATTAGTGGCTGGTATGCAAAAATACCAATTTTTTGCAAAATACCATTTTTTGTATGCAGCAAGCTTACTAATCTTTTGTTAATGATAATAGTTTAATTATAATCTCTTTCATAATTTCTAGGTGAATAATAATTTTGTCAGTGAACAGTGACAGTTTTATTTCTTCATTTTTAATCTTTGTATTTTTATTTATTTATTTTTTGCCTTAATGCACCACACAAGATCTGCAATACAAAGCTGGGCTGCAGGCATTACTATTAGAAATCTGTTTCTATTTCCTAACATTTCTCTGTAGCGTTAAGAAAGCACCCTTTCTGTGTTTTCCCAGGTAAATGATTCTTGAAAATTATCAATAAATATTGCATTTTGTCAAGAGATAATTTCCCACTTTGTGATAATGTGTTTTTCTCCCCATCACTTTCCCCCAATGGCATTTCTCGTTTAAAAATTATTTAGTCCAAATATGATTACATCATTTCCCCCTTCCTTTTTCCCTCCTATATATCTTCCATGTTCCCCCTCTTGTTCCCTCCCAAATTTGTGGCCTCTTTTTTTCTTTTTCCTTTTGAAAATAGATTCTTTCTTTCATAATACATCCCAATTACAGTACCCCTTCCTCTATGCCTTCTAATTCCTCCCCACTTCCCCTCCCATCCAGATACACTCCCTTT